AAAATTCCAGAAACCAAACCGCCCTCTTCAGAAAATCAAAAGAAAACTAACAATACCTGGGCGCCCAAGATCAGATCAAAAACAAAGAGTCCAACTTTTGTGGGACTCTTCCCCATACTCCAGTTCTTCCTAATTTTGATGTTGAACAGTAGATCACCTTCCTAATGACTAGATCCCACCAAAAAATCCAAGAACTGGGCAATCTATAGTAGATCGATCAGTCCTTTACTACTTCATGCAGTCAGTTGATCTAGGCTGCATGATAATGCTTCAAGAAACCCTAGTCGATGCTCTGATACCAAGTAGAAATCAGTTGAATTAAAAAATATGAAAGAAAAGTAGTTTCTTGAAGAGAGAAGAGAGAAGAGAGAAGGAGAATAAGAGAAGAGAAGTTGAAAAGAAAAGAGAGCAATGATCTAGCCGCCCCCTTCACTTATTATTTATACTAAAAATAATAGAACAATACAAAGACAACTATGCCCTTATAGGGCAGCAAAACATAAAACAACATATATAATACTCAAAAACATAATAAAATTTAGACTCACATAACTATTGTGGTCCCCACCTATCTAACAACTAACAAAAACATCTACTCAGAAAATGGTAAAAAATGTTGACTTGGTCAAAAACCGTCCAACCCGGGCAGTTGGAACGTTGACCCATTCGACCTAGTGACAAGGTCATGGTTGCACACTAAATGTGTATGCAAACCTCAAGAGGCCATAACTTTGTGCTCTGATGTCCAACTGAGGTGATCTTTGTCTTGATTTTGGGTAACTTTTCGAGACCTATGTGTCATGCCCTACTATTTTCACCAGAAAACCCCTTTTTGGCCTCAAATCGAAATTTTTGATATTTTTACAAATAAAAAAAATTAAAAACATAAATTAAATATAAAATAATGCATATGTTACATGTAGAATATAATTATACATTATTTATTGATAAAATACATGTTTATACATAACTATACACATATATGCATATAAATACATATACATGTGTATGTATTTACATATTGCTGACATGGCACAGTCTAACCCATCTGACCAGATGGCCAAACCGGTGACCCGCAACCCAGAGGCAAAAACAGTTCAGCCTCCATGTTGGTGGTTTGAAGCTAATACCAGAGAAAAAGAGACATTTTGACATGAAACATGAAATAAAATGTTTTATCAATGTTTCAAACACAGGCACCATCAGGCGCCACAAATAGAATAAAGGAAGCGGGAATACCCTTCAGATTTAAGATATGCCATTTTGATGTTTCTTCCAATGCCCCCTATTTGTGAAACCTGATGTAAAAAGTGGTGTTCCCAAGTAGAATAAGTTTTTTTATAATTGAAGTTGAATTGCCTATGTGACACCCTCAATACTAAAATGCTCTTCAATAAGGAAATTTGCATCTTTTTACTTATTTGTTTGTTTTTTTGCATTTGCACGTCTCTATGCACATAGAAAACCAAAACATTCAAGATAAAAACCTGAAACAAAATACAAGATTTTGGCCAAAAAGAAAATGTTAATTGAAACAAGTATCCCAAAGAGGGATGTTAATGGGCAGGTTAAAGGCTAAACCCAGCTTGTGGGTTAGGGTTTTGGTTCTTTAACCCAAGTCAGGTTTGTGTTTTGGCTAACCCGCCCTACTATGTCATAATACCCTATAGGGTTTTCTTGTAATTTGTTGACTTCTAACTCCACAGCCTTAAAACTTAGGATTCTTTTCATGTTTGTTTTGATTTATCTTCTTTCACTAATGGAGAAAGTGACACCCTATAAGGTCAGGTCGGGTTCAGAAATTGCATGTTGCTGAGTCAGGCTAGGTCAGGTTCGAATGGGAACATTTGAGGATCGGGTTAGGGTTGAGGCAAATATGTGCCAACCCAACCTGTTAACATCACTAATCCCAAAGATTGACCTTCCTTTTTTTTCATATGGCATGTCTATGCCTACACTAATAATGTTGCCACATTTTTTATGGATAACAGTTCTGAATTTTATTAGTAAAAAGATTAAATAGTAGAATGTGCAAGCCTACAACCCCACCAACGTGGCTAGCCTTTGTTAACCCCCTCTTCTAAATCCATTACACTCTTCCCAACTGGTGGATCTATCCTCAAAATATCTGATTTGTCAATGCCCCTTCTTTTTGTCAAACTCTGTAGTCCATTAGCAGAATGTGGCATCCATGTAGCATTTGTCAATGCCCGCCTAACTTACATGGTTACCACTTTGAGCTAGTTCAATATTCATTTCAAACATGAAGTTAAATATTAGTGTTTTTTTCTTGTGTAATAGATTATTCGGTTGATCTATTACAACCATTTATATGAAGTTTTGAATCTTAACTCATTCTGTCATGAAAGTCTTGAATCTTAAGGTTTACAGGACAACTTCAGAACGATAACCTTAGTTTCTTGGCTTTGTTTAATGATTTGGAACAAGACAATAATTTAAAAAGGTGTGCCTATGCTTCTTTTATCATTTCACAAAATACCATTCTACATTTATGCATATTTTACAATGTTTCAACCATATCTATAATTTTTACAAATCATATGCACCTTGTCTACCCTTTGATAATTGATATAATTCTTTTTTCCTAGAATATGTCAAACATATGCTTCAAAATATTATAGTATTTAAAAAACAAGAAGTCAATTTGCTTGGCAATTTTTATCAGTTTCTTTTCCAAGGCATCTTTTCAGTAACCATTAGAAACTTTATTAATTTGTGAAAAAGAATGATTTTCCATGCACCCTTTTGTAGGCTATTTACCTACCTCTCATTTGGCTTTTTATTTTTATTCACACAATTAGTTTGATAGCCTCCAACCAAAATTAGTTTCTTCTAGGAAGCTCTACCTCTTGAAATGGACTACAGGGAATGAAGAAGAGAGAAGAAGCTGGAGATTGATTCAGGTATATTTTTTATTATCCTTTAGGTCTCAAGGGGCTATTTAACCTCTGTATATTATGCTTATCATGCCAATTACCAGCACATGGCAGCCGACTCGGGTTAGCTATGATGACATGCCTTCCTGGCATAGACAAACTTGATAGGAGGTGCTCCATGAGATATCTTCAGTGAGCTGCTTGGTTGAGGACCCCGAGCTTGAGATGGCTGGGTCTGGATCTTAACATAGTTCCCCAATGGAACCATCCAACAGAATAGTTGGTCCCTATAGACTCCTTGTCTGGCCAATCGTCAAAACATATTATTGGTACATATAAGTTCATCTATAGTATAAAGCAGATATTTGCTTTGGGTTCCAGGCAGGTCATAAAAGTCAATCCAAAGACCATATAGCATTTATATGATCAATACTTGCACATGCAAAGTTCAAAGTATCAATACGTATCAGCCGATACGTATCGTGCCGGTGGCTTCCCGATAGGGAGTGTATCGGGGTTCTGGCCGGTTCAGGGGGTGGAGGAGCCTTAAACCGGCCCCCCTGAACCGGTTTTGAAAAAAATAAAAAAAGGGTTGAAAACACTATCGATATCGCCCAATACGCCTCTATCGGCATATTGGGCATATCAATATTTTGAACCTTGTATACATGTGCATGGAACATGCTCTTAAACTAGTCTTGGTAAAAGGACGTGTAGGTGGAATTCATTGCATGACTGCCTGTTTTCTCATGGTTCAAGAATAAACAATGGTTCACCAATTCCTTATGATATCAACAGTAGAGAAATAAGCATAAGTAGCCGATTTAGTCAACATTGACCAAAACAATACATGTTGACCAAATTTTTATTTTTTTAACTCGTTAAAATTTCTGTCATGGGTTTCGACACTAAAATATGTCTGCAACACTTAGAACATATCTTTGACTTTTTAAAACCATCAATCATACTGTCACATTAGTATCTATCCATGTGCATATGAACTGATAAATAATGATGGTACCTTTACAGGTCTTTCAACATTGTTTTGTTTATCATCCAAGAATTGTTGGACAAGTTTGGACACAACTCTTCGTAGATCCATCTCATTGAGACTGCAAGTTGCTTGGATAGGGAGAATACGATGAATCCAACTGCACCAAAAAAATGACATATAACATGACACTGGAATAAATTTAGAAAATACTATTGGTAAACAACTCACACATTACAAGTCATGAGATGTATCAAACTAATGAATACCAATAATTGATTTCTCAGCAATGAAGTGCAAGTATCAAACTAATGAATACCAATAGGTAGATGATGTGTTCAATAAATTCAAATAACAAATATATAATCACACCCATAAAAAAATATAAAAAAATTTCTTTTTTAAAACAATAGAAATAATAATGACAAGAAATTTTCAAAACATGCAATCTATATTATATGTATAATACAATTGGGTCCACATCAGCAGTTTCTCTTCTATGTGTTAACACCCTCTCAGTTTCTTTTGTCAATTAATTTATGACATAAATACAATGAGATTAGCATCAAGTGTCCTATTTACCTTGAAAAGTGAAACAAGTTGTGCCCATTAAATCTTTTTCGAGTTTTGAACTCCCAAGTCTCACTACTTCCTTAAATCTCTCTCCAATCTTCTTGTCATCAACTACTCAATTAATTTCCATATATAGTAACATAGAGCGTTCTGACTAGGGTGGCGTTTGGTAAATCTGAAGTCTAAACTCTAAAGTCCAAAAAGCAAAAAAAAAAAAAATCTCCAACAAAGCTTTGAAAGTATGTAGTAGAAAAAAAAAAATTTTGCTTTTTCAGACATCTGAATACAGTGGAGTTGTTCAGTGATCTGAATGTTGTGACATCTGAAAAGTTTGCATTTTACAAATTTACCCCTCAAAATCATTATTTAAATAACAGCAAATAAAAATTATTAAAATATTATGATATTATAGAAAATATTATGAAATAATAAAAATGATAAAATATTAAAAATTAATAAAAAAAGTCTAATGTTATAAATAATATTATAAATATTATAAAATAACATTAATTAAACAAATATTATAATATTTTACAAAATAATATTAATTATACCGACACCAAAAATGGTCATGGGAAACCAACAATTGAAAGCCCTTGTATAGGATGACAACAGTACCAGAGGTGCCAGTGGCCTTTGATACACATCCAAGACGGTAGTCAGTGAGTGATTTGGTTGCCTATCAAGCTGTTGTACCTTCAATGTATGGCAATCAGTCAAAGTCTATCAATCGACTGTTGTCCCTTCTTTTTAGGTTCAAATCGGAGTTAAAGGAACACCAATGAGCATGTGATCAAGCATTCCAAAAATGACAATAAGGAGTTGTCGTCGCTGGAGAAGAAACCCATCAATTTCTGTCCATGTTGCCATCATTGGAGAAACATGAAATGTGAAACTTTCAGGAGTCCATCTAGAATTTTTCAGGAACCCATTGATTTCTGTTCATGTTGCTGCCATTGAAGAAACATGAAATGTGAAACTTTCAGGAATCCAGCTCAAATATTTCAGGAACCCATTGATTTCTGTCCATGTTGTTGCCATTAAAGAAACCCATCAGTTTCATACTTTCACCTGGTTGCTCTCAGTTTCTTCTTTAGATTCTCAAATATTTCATCCAGCTCGAATTGCACAAATTTCAACGGATGAACATGAAGTAAAGCTAAAAGTTGTTTGACAAGCAGAGCTAGAAGCAGCTGAAGGGACATCCACTGGTATTAAGTTTTTGATTTTCATAAAGGGCACAATTGGTATGTGATTTTCGTCCGCTACCTCTGAATGCACTCGGAGCTAGTTCAATCACTAAATGACTCATAGGCATTTTTGGCGTTCAGAGGATCAATTTGGAGGTGTAGCCAAATGACCTCCAACGTTGAAAAAGCAAATTATTCAGTGTTCGGAGGCCGATTCAAGAAAATCTTAGGAAAATTGTCCATGTCTCTAATATTATATATTCATCATATTAAACAAAAATAATTGTGACAAATGAAAATTATTGCTGTTAATGATGGAAATGGCTTAAATCAAAAAATAAAATAAAAGAATTAAACTAATGGTGAGAGTAGTGATAGAATTATGGCAATGACAGGAGAGAGTATTAATGTAGTAGTAATCAAAAACCAAGTTTTATGATCTCCCCCCCCCCGATTATATGAATGTGCAAATGACATCAATTAAACTAAATGGTGAGAACTATGTGTCGTTTGCCAAATCAATGGAGGTTTTTTCTCAAATCCAAAGGGAAAGTGAAGCATGTGAGAGATGATAAACCTTTAGCTGAACCTTGAGGGTATAGTGAGTGGGAGCAAGAAAATGCTCAAATCATGACATAGTTGTGGAGTAGTATGGAATCAAAAGTAAGTGTGAATTTTATGTTTTTAGATACAGATAAAGAAATATGGGACCATGTTAAGAAGCTTTATTCTGGTTCCACACTACAAGGGTGTTTCAAATCCTTCAACACCACAAGTGTTTTTTCATTGAACAATGAAGAGACCGAGTCAGAGGATCATGAAAGTCGAGTATTGGAAGCATCTGCCTTGACAGAAATCCAGATTTTCATGAGAGTTCTGATACTGAAAATTTGTTCCTGGAGGAAGAAAATGACATCACATCAAAAAACTTAACTCTACCACAGCCTTCTGAAGCTGTTCTGTGAGCGAATAGGGAAGAAGTAGGCTCTGGTGGCGGAGGTAACAGTCAGTACCCATCTACACCTAATCTTGTTTCAGGGACTCAACATACATAGGGTATTCTGTTGGTGGTTTCTAACTGCCCACCTGTACAAACAAGAGTTACACCAAAGAGGGATATATGTACTAACAAGGGTTAAGCGGTCTCTCCACAGCTGATTAAACCTAACCTTGTTCCCTCGGAAATTGGTAATTCTAGGTCAAGTGCCAATACAACTGCTCTAGCTCCAAAGTCCAGTGTTGAACCTCTCTCTCCAGGAATGCCTGTCATTTGTTTTAAGGCTACTGATGAGTAGAGTGGAGATGAAGAGAGAGTAGAGGAAGCTTTTCATAAGGAACAAGGGGAAATAATTTGGAATATGGTGTGCAAATCCTTTGAGGAGCTTGTAAGTAAGGAGAGAGGGATTACAACAAGTCATGGGGAATTTGGAAACCAAGACAACATTCAGCTTGAAAGAAATTTAAGTGGGGAGATTGGAGAGAATAAGGGGGACTGGTAGTGGAAGTGGCAGGGGAGATGGGGCTAAATCTAAAAGAAATTAATAATACGATAGTTTATTCCAAGAAGAAGGGGAGGGGAGGCAAGGACATATGAAGAAAAAAATGACAGAAGTAGAGAAATAGAAGTCTGATGTAGTGAGAGACTTAGAGTTTAGTTCAAAGGGGGAGAGAAGGAAGAGATCAAAATAAAGGGTGGGTGATTTGGGGTAATTTTTCAAAAATTGTCATGAAGATAATAAGTTGGAATGTTAGAGGATTGGGGAGTGCCACGAAAAGGCAGGTAATAAAAGATTTGCTAAGAAAGGAAAATTCAAACATCGTGTTGTACTATTATTTAGAAACAAAAGTGGTAGATATGGACAAAAGATGGGTGAGAAGTGTTTGGAGCTCTAGAGGACTAGGATGGTCCTTCTTGCCTTCAGAGGAGCATCTAGGGGTCTAGTAACTATGTGGAAGAATGAGGTGGTGGAGACCCTGGAAGAATTAATTGGTCATTTCTCAGTCTCTCTAAAGTTTAGCAATTTGGAAGATGGATTCATGTGGGTTTTGTCAAATGTATATGGTCCTAACATATATATATAATAGAGAGAGAGAGAGAAAGAGGTGAAATGTGGAAAGAGTTATACGAAGTCAGAGGTCTATGGGATGGACCTTGGTGTCTGTGGGGAGACTTTAATGTAGTTAGGTTTACAAATGAGACAAATAATACCAATCAGATGGTCTCTACCAGTATGAGGAAATTCAATGAGTTTATTGAAGACCATGCACTAAAAGAGATTCCTCTCCAACAAACTTTGTTTACGTGGTCAAATTTTCAATACCTCCGAATTGGATAGGTTTATCTTCACCCCTGAGTGGGAAGAACATTGAATAGGGTTGATGACTAGGGCCTTGCCAAGAGTCACTTCAAAACATTGCCCAATAATCAATTAGTATTGGAATTAAGGCTTTTCCCAATGGCCCCAAACCGTCTAGATTTGAAAATATGTGGCTTACTCACCCAAACTTTGTGCACAAGGTGGCTGAATGGTGGAATGAGGAAATTGGGGATGTTAGTTGGAAAGGAGTTAAATTCCATGGGTAAATACAAAGGCTTAAATGCAAATTAAAAGAGTGGAATAAAGATCATTTTGGAAGAATAGAGGAGAGGAAACTAGGAGTGGTATCCCAAATTGATCAAGTAGATGATAAGGGAGGCCAAGGAATGTTAAGAGAGAAGGGTAGGATCTTGCGTCAAGCTTTAAAGGAATTGGAAGAGATTTTGCTTAGGGAGGAAGTTTGTTGGAGGCAGAAATCGAGGCATCAATGGATTAAAGAGGGGGATGGCAACACTAAGTTTTCTCATGCATTAGCCAATGGGAGAAAAAGAAAGAACGTTGTGGAGAAATTAGAAGTGAATGGTGAAATTTTGGTCAACCAAGAAGAGATCACCCATGGTTTTGTGGATCACTTCAAGCAATATATAAAAGGCTGAACAATGTTGGTTTTAGGGTGGAAGGACTAGAATGGCCAGATTGGATACTAAAATGGCAAGAATATTGGAAAGAAACTTTGATTTGGAAGAAATAAAGGAAGTTGTCTTTTCAATGGATAGATCTAAAGCTCCAAGTCTGGATGGATTCACTATGGCGTTCTTTCAGGATTGCTGAGAGATAATTAAAGTGGATTTATGGGCAGTTTTTGAGGAGTTTGTTGAGGAACACTTTATTAGTCCAAGGATTAACTCCACTTTCTTAGTTCTGATACGTAAAAAGAGAGATGCCACCCAACCAAGAGATTTCAGACCCATCAGCCTGGAGACAAGCATCTATAAGATAATAACTAAAGTATTGTCACTAAGGTTAAAATTAGTCTTACCCAACCTGATAAGCCAATCCCAAGGGGCTTTTTTTTCAAGGAAGACAGATCACTAACCAAATCCTGATAGCTAATGAATGTGTGGAGGATTTTAAGAGGGAAAAAGGTTTTATGTGTAAACTAGATTTGGAGAAAGCATGTGATATGGTTGATTGGTCATTCCTCATAGAAATTCTGAGGTGTTATGGGCTTGGAAAGAGATGGTGTGGATGGATTGAAGGCTGCTTGAAGACTTGCCATTATTCAATGCTAGTTAACAGGGTGATCAGAGATTTTTTTTCTAGCTACCAGAGGGTTGAGACAAGGGGATCCACTTTCTCCTTGCTTATTTACCTTGATAGTTGAGGTGTTCAACATGCTTATCTCAAGAGCTGATGGATTGGATCTTTTTAGAGGTTGGAGGGTGGGTAGTGCATAGTCCTTAACAACTACAAAATGAATGGAATTAAAAAGAAAAGAACAAAAAATGAAAGAAAAGCAAGAAATTGATAAAAAAACATAAAACAGAAAGAAGAAGAAAAGAGGGGAAAATTAGAATATATATCAAAAAATCTCAAAGAACTAAATTAGTATGCAAGCAACTCACAGTGGTGCCTTTAGACTTCTAGAATCCAAAGAACAAAATATGTTTGACAAAATATCAACAGTGTTATAAGAGCTATTCCTTGGTATGGTTAAGAGAAGTAATCCACTCCTTGTCAACTTCACTAGTGAAAGAACCTGACTGAATTCAACACCTATCTTAGCAGAGAATGAACTAGTTTCTTTTGAAATTCCATCTGCATTCAAAGATAAGTAACGGTCATTCACTACCAAGTACAAATCAAAATTTGGAATTTCACATAACCAATTTTCATTTGAAAAAGAAAGTTCATTCATTTACAAAACTACTACCAGAATCTCTTATGGTGTCTCCATCCTTTGTGCTCTCAAGATTATTACCACCTTTCCCATTTCTTTCCTCTATGCATACTTTTCTTCTTTTCGCAGCCACATTTGCATCCAAGACTTCCAAACATTCAGAGCTACTACCACAGCTCTGAGACACAATAAACTGCACAAAAATCCAAAAGATAATGGTACCAAAGTAGCCTAGTCTATCATAATACCATCTGGGTCTCAACCAAATCTGATATACATTTAAATAGAAAATCTTAATCTTAGCAAAATCCAAAAAAAACAAAAAAGATCTTCAACTAGAATAAGAACAATTTGCATTCTGAAAAGTAATAGTTTGATACCATATTTCCAAAATGAAGTGGTATATTTCCAATGAAGCCTTCTGAAAATGCATTAATCATTGCAATAAAAATATAAGAAATAATAAGTAGGAATCTTAATACCTCTAATAAGTGCCAAAACTGCAGAGTGGGAGCATTGCTTGAGCACCAAATTCAAATGTGTTGGACACAAAAGCACCTCCTAAGTGTGCAACAATACCTACTTTTTTAGGAGCTGAAAACGCTATCCGTTTGTCCAAAGTTGAATTTGAATTTGATCCAGTTAAAGGTGATCCAAATTCAATCAATTATTATTTTATCGAATATGGATCCACCCCTATCCAATCTGTTATGGCCCAATTCAATTCAATGCTTATATATAAATGTTTATATTGTATCTATTGGATGATGATGATGATAATGATCTATTAGTAAAATTGGTTTGAATGTTATATTTTTACCTAAGAATCACAGGTTAAATTTTGTGCAAGTTAATTTCAATTCATTCTCTTCATGATATATACAATATCAAAGTCATTCTTAGTTCATTTTATTAAATAATAATATAATTTTTTTTATCATTTTTAGTTTTATTTGTTAATGTTGTTCAATATCTGATTGCAATCCAAATTCAATTCTAATCTGATATAGATAAGACTCAAAAAGAAGGTGAGCAATTTATTAAATTCAATTCTAATCTAAGCAATATAGTAAAGACCACAAGGAATCCATCTGAAGGTGCACTTCAGCAAGGAAACTAGTTCATGAACTTGAAACAGAAGGTTAGCAAGTTTCGAAGGACCTTCCATCTGCCCTTTGGCCCATCTGATGTTTTTTTCTGGAGTCACCTTCAACAGTTCAACTGCCAAGGAACTAAAGTGGAGTCTATTGGCAGTCCTTAGAGCCTCAAGAAGTGAGCAGGTCTCTGCTTCCGAAACATCAGATATTGTGGTTGGACCACCGTAAGCCCATAATATATGAACATATCACTATTTAGGTTCCTAAAGATGCCACTAATCCCTGTTGCAGAAGGGGTTTCCTGAGATTTCCTAAAGCAGCAATAGACCTGTAGGATGAAATCACTATCCCATCTAGGGAGGGTAAAAACAAGAGGGGGGTTTGCAGGAGAGGTAAGCAGAATTTCCTAACAGTTTCTTTGTAAATCCCCAATGTTGAAACCTGTAAACATTTTGGTGGGAAGCATCCAGGAGTTGACTAAGTTCAGAATCTTAAATCTTAAACTCACAAATGAAGAAAACCTGTTTTTGAAAATTCTTCTGTTTCTTTCATCCCAAATGCCCCACCTCACTGCATGGATGACTGCTTTCCAAAAGAATCTTCCTCTTTTTTCCAATTAGGCCATTGGACAATGAACTGCACACAGAGTTAGGAGTCCAACAATAACTGCCATCATGAGTTGAATCCAGGAAAAAAGTTGTCAAATGTTTCTAGGCTTTTAGCAACATAACAGTTTATAAGAAGATGGCATATAGATTCCCCGTCCCTATAGCATAAAACACACACATGGAAGGGGGAATACATCTCTGCCCCAGTAGTTTCTTCTGCAAGATATCAAGTGTTCAATTTGTGACAATCTACGAAGTGCCAAATCCTTTTGTCCAGGAAAGGAGTGGGGGGGAGATGAAGGCTTCTGAAATTGAGGTAATTAGTGAAGAGATCATAGAAATTTCAGTATCTCTCAAGGCTCTACAGAAGTTGAAGTTGTAAGAGTGGGTTCAATCATCCCTAAAGATGGTAGAGGTAGGGATGGCAATTTTCCCCATCCCCGATGGGGACCCGGCTTCCCCAAATGGGGACGGGGATTAATAGGAATCCCTGATCAGGGTCGAGGTCGGGGATGGGAATTGAGGCCCCCGTCCTAACCCCGACCCCCGATTATATATAAGTAAATTTATTTTTCAAAAAAAAATACTGTTATCTTAAAAAATTTCGGGGATTCAGGTCCCCACGGGGAACCCATCCCTATCGGGGATCGGGGATGGAGGACAAATTGTATCCCTGATGGGGATCGGGGACGGGGACGGGGATGGGGTTAATTTCAGAATCAGGGTCAGGGACAGGGAATATGGTCCCCGCCCCGTTGCCATTCCTAGGTAGAGGAAACAAGTGTGCGTTTATCACGGGCAAACCTAAATAAGGAGGGGAAAGACTCTGAGAGAGGTTTACTGCCCCACCGAAGGTCAGTCCAGAATCTAATTTGGTTCAAATTTCCAAGTATAAATCTGGTTAAGGGGGTCAAGGTATTTATAGTTGGAAGGATACCTTTCCAAGGGTTGGCAAGGGAATAGCTCAGCAATGGCTGAGTGTCACCCCTTTCAAGACCATTTCTACCATATTTACCTCAAATAACTGAGGTCCATAGAGATCCCTTGTATCTCCAAATCCATTTTCCTAGTAGAGCACAGTTCCTTTCAGAAATATGACCAAGAACCAGGCCACCTTCCTTCATTGGATTACATATGTTTTCCCAGTTCACAAGGTGACTCCTCTCTCCACCTCCCTCCAAAAGGAAGTTATGTTGAAGCTGTTTTAACTGACTCCTCACTCTAGCTGGGATTTAAGCACTGAAAGATAATAGGTCAGGAGGTTTGAGAGGGTGTCTTTGGTTTGATTAGGGTGAGCCTCCCCCATGAAGATATAGCTTCTCTTCCAAGACTCCAGTTTTTTTCATACTTATCAATGATTGTACTACCAGATAGCTTATGTAGGGATTACAGCCCTTGTTTCCAAAGAAAGAGTGCAATCTTGACTGTTTTACATGTTCTTTGTCTATGACAAGACCTGTTCACATGCCAGGCTTCAGACTCAGCTCATGAACATTTTACACTGTTTCAGGGGCTCAGGCTTCAGGCCAAGCTCATTCAAGTTTTGGCAAAAGATCAGCCCGAGGCTAACCCATGAACAGGTCTAATGGAAACTCTATACCAACACATCACTAATTGGAAGAAAACTAAAAATAACTCATCCATTATTTTATTTCAAATCATTAGAGACTACAACCAAAAGCATTTAAGTAACTTCGTGGTTAACCAGGTTGACTAGTCAGCCCAGTTAATGCTTTGTCATCCTAGGTGACCACATCATGAGTATTACTATTTACCAACTAGTGATACAGTCAGTCTATCCCCCTACTGACTAGTTGGTTGACTAGTCAATCATCACATTGACAGCACTGTTTTAAAGATGTTAACTTTTAATTCGAAGGAATCAGGGTTATTATGGAATAATGATGGAATTGCCCAATTCTAATTTATACACAAGAACCACCAATTTGAATATACATTGTTGTGTTTCCATCAAAAGCACGCTACTGTGACAAATCAAGTTGCAAGAAAGAAAACATTACAGAAAAACAGATAGTCCGCTCCAAGGAAATAATAAAGAAATTTATAGAGTAACAAACAAAAAAGAAACTTGATAAAAACCTTTTCAAGGATGGAAATAGCTTCTTTCGTGGCACTTTTCTCCCGCTCTGGCAAGAAAAACAGAAGTATCAAAATGCCATTTTCTCAGCTGGATTGAGAAAGGAAACAGCTAAAGAAACATCAAGTCGTAAAAAGCAAAGCAAGTTGAAACAAACAACGGGAAGAATGAGAAAACAAGGGTCTCACTAATGGGGCAGGTAATGAGGAACCCGGAATGCGAGTACTCCAAAAGCGAAGAGGGTGCGTTGTAATCGAAGCGAGGGATGTTGATAACTGCTGCGTGCTGCTCCCACGGCGTTAGACCCTCCTCCCTTCCTTCGGGGCCCAACCCCGAATTTGGTTCATTCTCCGCCATCTTCTTTCCTTTTTGAGTTTTTACTTCTCCTTTCTGCAAACTCGATTTTCAAAAGCTCGGACTTAGAGTTATATCTGCATGAGCCCTAAATCGGATGTCAGTCAGTTTTTTTTTTTTTTTTTTGTGACGCTAATATCAGTCAGTTATTTGAAGGACTGTCCGCTTCACCATAGCTTATCTAAGCGCTTCAAAGCAGCTGAACCTGGAACTGAATCCCCTGGACGGCTGGACCCTGCTAATCTGCTATATAACCGCTTCACGCAGCGGCTTCCGGCTTTCCGAGGTGACCCCACATGAACAGTCAACAGTCAATATGCTATACTAGTCGAATTCGGATTTGCGTAACTCGAGGTGAACCGACATGAACAGTAATAAATTCATGGGCCTGGTATGGGCTTGGTTCAGAGGAATAGCATCCCTAAATGGGCTAAGTTGGATAAATCCATCTCAATAATTATTTTTGGGTTATGAATTACTTGATAAATTTATATTAGTGGATGGTTGAATAATTGAATTGATCACTTAACATCCTTTATGATCAAACCGATAGAATATAAGGTCTCTGTGGTTGGGTTTGGACGTTGCATGCTACCTATTCCGCACCCCAAGTTCCCTTGTATTGTGAATTATATAATACAAAAATTTGTTTTAATTTTTACTACTTTTTACATTTTTAAATTGAAATTACATATATTTTAGTTTTATTAATAACTTTACTTTTATAATTATCTTTTGCAATATGTGTTAAGTGAAATAATATTAGAGTAAAAAAAGCATTGAAACATTTGGATTTAGAGAGAGTTCATCCAAGTCCAACCTAAATATTACTTTGGGTCATGTATCGTTATAAAATTTTTATGATTTTTATTAGTTGAATTTTAAGTTAATAAAATTATTTTTAAATTAATAAACTTTAATTATTTTTAAATAGAATATAAATAGATTTTAAAAAATAATTTTAAGACTAAGAGCTTTTTATTAATTTATTAATAATTTATGTTATTTTAAAAACATTAAATGGATTTTAAATTTTATTAATATCATTAATAATATTATTTTATAAGTTATTGTTAAATAAATTTGCATTGATTTTTATTATGTTAAGGTGGAATTTAAATTCATAAAAATTATTAACTTACTAAGTTAAATAAGCTATTAGTTAAATTAAGTTAATTTTTAAAGATTTTTAATAGTAATAAAGTAACTTTTATTACTTTAAAATTGTAGAACAGTAGAACAACTTGAGATGTAGTTTTTTATTTGATACGATAAAGGAATCATTTTTCATAAGAAACTAATAGAATAAAGGGGCCATGTATAATACCTTAGTATGGGTCATTGATTAATGTATGGGGCTAATATACCATGTAAGTCATAAAAAAAAAATTGTTCTAATTGGTCGTCATTGAACATATGGGACCTACCAACTAATGGTGGCTCAATCTTACTACCACCAATGTTGAGGGGGTTAGGGTTACAATGGGCTCCCCCCCCCCCCAAATATGGTAAGTTTCATATGCAAATTTATAATCTCCAATTAAAAAAATACAATAATTAGGTTTTCTTTATTAATATCTAAGTTATATTAATAAATAAAATTACGATAATATCTTATTTAAATTAATTATTTACATTATAACTTAATATAAATATATATAAGTTAATATATCAATGAAATAGTTAAATTAATTTAAATGTAACTAAATTAATGAAAATAATTTTCTTGATACAAATATGTGTCAATAAAATGAAGTAAAAGTTTTGTTAATATATTACTATCTAATCTAAGTTAATATCTAACTACACAAATAGTCCATTTGTTTTCCAAATAGTTAAAGCATGCCTTAAATTATATTGGTAATTAATGTTGTTTATCTTCTTTTATATATACATTACTATTAGTTAAGCACGTGCGTTGCATGTAAGAAATTTTTCTTGAAATTAATTACTTGAATTTTAGATACATCATATTTAATATATAAATTAAAATTTAACAAAAATAACAATATGATTAAAAATAAACTTTAAATGGTTGTAGTTTTAATTGCATAATGTCATGGAAATTGTGTAAAACTGAAATAAAAATAATTGTAATGTCTTTTGAGATAACTTCTGTCTTGACTAATTTGTAGTATTGTTTCACTTTTGGAGGTTCGTTATCTTTTTTATTATTTTTTAATCTTGATCTTTTTTATTCTCTTGTCTTTGAATAAATTGACATCTTCTATCCATGTTGTTGTTGAATTATCTACTTTGGTCATGTTAGTTGTTATAAATTTGCTAGAGCTATGATCCATATTTCCTTTTTTATCAATTAATATGATGAAGAAGTATACCTTTTCCTTTTAGCTCTTAAAGATAAGTTATGAACTTGTTACTTTTCCTAGCAATATGATTACAAATTGTGTTAGTAATAAGTTATTTTGTAGTGGTAATAGTAATAATAGTGCTTATTAATAAAATTTTACCTCTCTTTAGAATTTTACAAATTTCGATGTTAAACATCCAATTATCTCAATGGTTGGTTCAAATAATGTGATAGTACCTAGGGATGGCAATTTTCTTCGTCCTCGACAGGTACTCGAGCTCCCCGACCCAGTGGAGTCGGGTATGAGGAGTGCTTTGGCGGGGTCGAGGTCGAGGATGGGGCTAAAACTGAATTCCCGACACTCTCAAGACTCTCTTCTACTACCTAAACTAATTAACTCGACACTCAACAGACAAAGAAGAAATAACATAAGGCAATGCCTAAAACTCAAAGCCTACCCTTCTCCAGTTCTTCTTCCCTTATTCATCTATTATCTTCAGTATCAATAGTTTTCGTCGCCCGTCGATACTCTCTCTCTCTCTCTCTCATAGTCTCTCTCTCTCTCATAGTCTCTCTTTCTCTCAACTCAATGCTCACAAGTCTGATTTTCTGATTTTTGAAATCTCAAATAGATGTAAGATGTTACAAACATGAAATCTCAAACAAATGTGAGATGCTACAGATCTGAAACTCAAGATTTTCCTTCCATGTGCAAGAAACTTGGGATGAACATACATCAAGAGTTACCCTACAAAATGGAGTAAAAAAAAAATTTGTGTAATCGGGGATCTTGGTCTCCAACAGGGAATTCATCCCCGACAGGGTCAGAGATGGAGGAGCATTTCTTTCCCCGATAGGGATCGGGGACGGGGGATGATTTGGAAATTGGGGTCGGGGATGGAGAACGTAATCCCCGCCTCGTTGCCATTCCTAATAGTACATTTACCAGTGTCATATGATATGTTGATTCTAAGCATATATCTGTTCGATGCATTTTTTGAATTGTCAATAATATTATTGTGATATATTCTTATTAAATTATTTATTTCAATTTACCACATACTTTTTTGAGTACTTGACATCATTTTTTGTATATTTGGCATAATATGATCATTTTTCTGTTAAATCAACCTTTTTGTTACAATTGTCACATACATTATACCAGGGTTCATCCAAGTTGAGGATATTAGTTACTATTACCTTGATTGAACAATAATTTACCTATACATATTAGATCTTTAATTTAAGCATGTGTTATCTAAGTAAAGGTATAAATGTGTAAACTTGTTTGCAATTGTTTTGATGGATTCCTTTTTTAAATTACTTGAAATGTTTGATATTATATGAAGTCCTTTCTTTTAACTTCTTCTAATTACTTGAGTAAGTACATTTTTCAGTCAACAAAGTACTATTATTTTGAAGACATACTTTTTTGCACATGCATTTGTGAATGCTTATCTTTTTAGAGATACATAAAATAGTATGTCAAAATTTGATTTTATACTTATAGTTCTCGTATATGTGGATTAACTTGGATTTAGGATTGTACATGAGTCGATTTGTCTTGGTTACACGCAATCTACCCAATCGAATCAACTATCTTAGGTTAATGATTATACCACTTGAAACCAACCAATTTTTTTTAAAAATCGATCCTAACATGATAAATCGGTTTCGGTCAATTCAGTTCGATTTGGTCGAGTGGTCAACCATATGTTTACATTGGAGTCTTAGAGAGGAATAGACTTTAGTATCTAGACTAGAGCATTAAAAGTTGTGTCATTCTATTTTTGAAGCTAGGAAGAATTAAGAAAATTTATTATCAAATTAAATACTATAATTGATTAATGAGATATTATGAATATAGAATTGAGACATGTGGCATACAAGAGAGAAAGAAAGAGAGAGAGAAACAAATATAAACTATTGGAGGATGTGAATAACACTTTCATTTTTTTCTATTGCATTAAAAGGCAGTTTGCATTAAAAAGCAATAACTATATTAATTCATGAAATATTAGAAATATGAAATTGGGATATGTGGCATGAGAGAGAGAGAGAGAGAGAGATGGACTATAGGAGGATGTGAAGAGCCTTTCCATTTATTTTATTGCATCAAAAGGCAATTTACATTAAAAACCAATAACTATTTTAGGCAATAATTAATAGTCAAACATAATTAGACTTTATTAATATATTATGATGGATTGGCAAACTGAAACCAACCCGATCTCTCAGTTATCCTATTTTGATAACCGAAACTGATCAACAATTCTTGAAAACCAACCAATGGATTGGTCGGTCCCATGAACAGACCTACTTGCGTAGTTGTGATAGATGTTATAGAAAGAGAACCACTTGTATTATGGGAAAAGGTGTTATGTATTTATTTGTATGTTTTGTTTTTTTTTTATCATAATATTTAAGTTTATTGTCTCCATATGTTGTAGCAATCAAAGATGTGAATACAACTATTAGCTTGTTTAAAAAATTATTCCAATAGTAAGCCACCTTCTTCCTATGTGTATTATCCCCATAGTATTAATAGAACAAGCTCTAAACTATATTAATTATTAGAGAAATTATAATTAGTACATTTTTAATAATAACAAGAAATTCATAATTGCTAGTTTATAAAAAGTATTTAACACCGAATATAATGATCTCCCGTTTCATTGAGATCCCATCTTTATACTTGAATTAATGTGTCCTGTCAATTTTAATCACCGTTACAACCACATATACAAAGAATAAGATTATTGAATAATGAGTATATTTTTATTTTATAACTTAGAAAATTGTCATTATGATGATTTTTTAATTATCAACCAATTTTTTACTTGTAGTGTAATTTTTTATGCCATAAAGTTAAATAAATTTATAGTTTATCTTGGTAGAGTTCACT